ATATAATTATTTTAACTAGAAATCCTTATAAATACATTGAAAGTTTGATGTACCTCAATTTATTTCAAATAAATTGTTAAAACCTGTGCATTTCCATTCTTACAAGTTGAGGTAAAAAAAAAAAACAAAAAAAAAACCTGTGCATTGACACAACCAAGGAATGAAATAGAAATTACAACATATGACACATTCAGAAGCTACATATAATATATATCCAAAGTTTTGCTTTGTAAATATATTATCTTTTGCATATTCCATAAAATGTAAGATAAAAATAAATGACGTACCCAGGATGTGATCAGGATTTGATTAATATTTAACCTTTTATAGGGTATTTCTAATTACAGATTTATTACAACTAACTCTAAACTGCGGAAAATTTAAATAATATTAATTTTGGCTTAGTAACTTATTCTTTAAAAATGTGCATAGATACTGTTAAGAGATACTTAGCATAGATACTGTTAGCATAAATATTCTTAAGCATAGATACTGTTAAGAGAACTCTGTCAATCATAAAGGGACCCAAGGTGAAGAAGATCTATACAAAAGCAAGAAGACTTATCCCCAGATCACTACCTTTGTTAGCTGTTGTAACTTGGCATAACTGAGTCCATCTTGAGCCCCGCATTTAACTAGTGCCCTGTATTTGGCCCAAGAAAATGGAAAATTACCTAGAGTACAAGTCCCATGATAAAAGCAGAATGAGCTGCACCCACAAAAGAAAAATTAACCTGCTCAACGAAAGAAGCAAGATACAGGTGTCAACCAAAAATTAATGTAAGATTCTAGCTAATTGTTTCCAACCTTTTTGTGGTTCTCTGTTTTAGAAGCTTTGTAACTTTCCGGTTGGGTGCCACTCAGTGAGACTCTGGAATAGGGGTCCAAAGGTGGTTGCTGAGCTCAGCTAATAAAATTCCAAACTTAGCAATTTGGCTGCTTGGATTCCTATATTGTTTTTTTTTGACTTTTTCCTTTTTATCGGTACCAGGTATCAAACTCAGGACTGCCTGCTTGCAAGGCAGGTGCTTATGCCGCTGAGCTAAATCCCCAGCCCCCTGGATTCGTATATTGTTAACATACCCACCTCATTAGTGATTATGGCTTCTAAGAAATTATAAAATTAGTTTTTTCTTTCTTTTTCTTTTTTTTTATCAATACCAGGGATCGAACTCATGACTGCCTACTTGCATGGCAGGCGCTTATGCTGCTGCGCTAAATCTCCAGCCCCTATTTTTCTGTGTATTGTATACAGGACTACTTGAAATACATTACAGTACTGCCAAAATGTTTGAAATTTTGTTGTTGTTGGAAATGGGATACCCTTTTAGGAAAAAGTTGTACTTACTAATAAATCTTAAGATACTGAAATTGTCAATAAAACACTTTTAATTGCATACTAGTATATGCAATTATATATTGGGATGTCACTATTATATTATGTACATTCATCCCAGAATGAATTTAAATATATTTCAAGAATAAACGAGTTAAATTCAGATATTTAAAGCATATAAAATTGCCTCATAATTTAAAAAAGCATTTATTTAGCAGGTTATCTAAAAAAATTTTTAACATTTAACCACTGACAAGTAAATTTACATTGGGTACATATTTTGTGATAGCTCCTAGGCTGATTATGAGAGGAAAAAAATTAATAAAAATTATTTACAGGGGCTGGGGATATAGCTCAGTGGCATAAGCACCTGTCTGGCAAGAGCAAGGTCCTGAGTTTGATTCCTGGTATAAAAAGATTTATTATTACTATTTTATTATTATTATTATTATTTTATGTTTTTGGTACTGGGGATTGAACTCATGACCTTGCGCTTTAAGTGCTTGAGCCAGAGCTAAATCCCTCATCCTTTCAAAAAATTATTTACAAGTTGGGCCTGGTAGTTAATTATACTTCAAATCCTAGCACTTCAGAGGCTGAGGCAGGAGTATTGCCCCAAGTTCAAGGCAGCCTGGACCACATGGCAAGACTCTGTCTTCAAACAAAACAAAACAAAAGCACCAACAACAAAAAAATAGAGTCCAAATTACCAATGAGACAGGCAAGAAAATGCCATTTAAACCACATGGAATGTAAATGATAAACACGTGCTAATAAAAAATAAAATAAATGTGGTTTGTGGAGGCAGAGAGCATTGCCAGCTAGCAGTAGCAGCACTCTTAAGATCTAAAGATTGGTCACCAAGGTCTACAGGGACCCAGTTACAGGGATAGGGTAATAAACAAAAATCCAACCACAAGGAAAGCAATGTGAAGTTGAAGTGTGTAAGATGAATTCCAGGAACCAGGGTGGTTAGAAAAAGACCCAGGATTGCTTCCGATCCCAGCACTGACATAATCATCTTAGAAAAAGGCGAGATCCTACTGAGGGAATAAACCAAGGGCAGCAGAGGCTGTGAGGTTGTGATCAGCATCCGGCCTGGTACCTGCAACCAGGGCTCACCTGTCCTAACTCTCCTCCCACTTGGAGATGGAGCCCAACAAGGAAGATATTCCCAAGAAAGGGCCTGCTCAGATGAAGGTCAGGAAAACACAAGCAGAGAATCACTCAGAGGGCAGTGACTGAACTGGGACCATCAAGTTCTAGGGAAAGCAATTGAAAGGGTTTTGGCCCAGATAGAACACTGTAGCCAGGAAAGCCTTAACCGGAAGTCCCAATCTCCCTTGCCCCTAGGAAGTTACCTGTGACGCCATCTTCCCGCCCCTGGAAATTTACATATGGCACCAAACTTAGGACCAATGGGCTACCTGTGTATCCCTAATGCCCGCCTTAGGTTCCACCCCAAACCGAGGCTATTTACATGCCCCCACGCCACGTGTCCGCCGGAGAGATCGGGCTGCCAGAGGTGGGAGTGCCGGTCATCGGTCATCTCTCTCTGTGTTCTCAGAATAAAGGCCGCTTTTTATTTTATATTTCTCATTTTTTGGAAATATTTTTTGTCTTTTGGAAATAACCCTAGCAGCAATAAAGTGTATCCTGCTGGTTGGGATGCAGACAGGGATGTGTCCCAGAAAAGTAACATGTTTGGCCAAGGTCATACAGTGGAAAAACCAGCACTTAACAAAGGTGACATTTCCATGCACAGAGTAGAAAGTTCAACATAATATTACTGCAGAAAACAAAACGGTCTTCCTTTTTCAGTTAAAGAGAATCCTTTATTTAGGCAGTCTATGCTGACTGTAGACTTTTCACCGGATGGCAGGAAAAGTCCATCTGTCTTTCTGCTCCATCAATTCCTTCCCTCCCTCTTCTTCCTTTTTTCTCCTCTTCCTTTTTTTCTTTCTCCTCCTCCTTTCCTCCCCCTTCCTGTTTCTCTCCTCCACCTCTTCTGTCACATGGCCCATAATTGTTATTGGATTACTAACTTGATATGCTACCATGTGCATTTCACAAGAAAGCAGGGAAGAAACAGGAAGGGTAAAAGGGTCTGCAGAGCTCTCTGGGTTCCCATCTAGCATTTTGTCATACATGCACAAGCAAACATAGTCTTTCTGTTTTTCTTCCACTAGAAAAGCAGCACACTAAGATTACTGTTTTGTCCATTACTTTTTTCTCCTCCAGTGTAGTAGAACTCAACAGTCACCTTCATGTAAATGAATATCTTGGCTGTTTTTTGTCTTTTTTTATTGCAGAGAATACTGCAGTAAACATTCTTCTAAACACACCAATTCCTTTGTGCTATAGCTCGAATGTGTCCTTTCTAAACCAAGTTCTAGTTCTAAGAGTCAACCCTGTAAGAGGTGATAAGGCCACAAGGGCTTCTTCCTTGTTGATGAACTTAAGGCTTTCATAAAAAGTCTTTGCACAGTGTTTGGCTAGTGTACTCTCTTATTCTTCTGCCTTTTGTCATTTGAGGATGCCCAGGAAGCCCCAACCCCCCACCAAAGGAGCCTTCATAGCTCATGAGAAAATAAATTTCTATACTTTAGAACAGGTATTCTGTTTATAGGAGCACAAAATGGACAAAGATACTATGTTTGCAGATATGTGTATGTACACGATTAATTCCCACAACTGGGATTGCTAAATGTAAAAGTTAGGTATACATCTAATTTTGAAAAATATTGCCAAATTCTTCTTGACAGAGTTTACATGATTTTGTAGGTCCATTAGCACTGTAAGAAAATACATACCAATACACTTACCTGAATGTGTTATCATGTATTTGGCTTTAGCCATTAAAATACCTGTGCAGTTTTTGTTTTTGATTTTTGGGATGTTTGTTTTTTGAGACTAAGTCTCACCATATGGTTCAGGCTGGCCTTGAATTCATGGTGCTCCTCCTGCCTCAGCCTCCTGAGTGCACGGATTACAGGCATTCATCACCATGCCCAGTTCATCTATGCGGTTTTAATTTGCATTTCTCTCATTATGAATAAGGTAGCACATATTCATACGTAAAGCAATTTGTATTTCTTTTTCAATGAACTGTCTTTGTGCTTTCCTCATTTTGCATTAGGTTTTTGGTCATTTGCCCCCAACTTCCAAGAGAAATTTGTACTTTAGGGGCTGTTAGCCCAATATAATTATGAATACAAGCTATTTTTCCTATTTTGCTTCTTTATCTATTGTGACTTTTTCCATGCATAAATTAAGGGATTCTATATAGTTTAGTTTTTCAATCTTTTCTATTATGACTTGTGAATTTTGAGTCATAGTTGCAGACTTTCTTTTTCATGCCTCCCTTAAGATTATAAAATTTGCTCATGGTTTATTTCGTTTTTTTCACATTTAAATTTTGGATTCATTTGCACCCCAGTACATTAACCACTAGAGTGGGAAAAAAAAAAAAAAAAAAAAGCCAGAGTTTCGGGAGCATAGTAATCAGCTCCAGGAAGCCTCACACTACAGCGGAAGCGGAGCGTAGGTAAGTCCCGCTCCATGCTTCAACGCCAGCCAATCACAGCGCACGATGCTGTAAACCAAAATTGTTCCGGCGGTGCGCGCGGGGGGCGGGAAGGGGGCGGTGCGCGAGAGGGGAGGCGGTGCGGGCGAGAAGAGGAGGCGGCGCGGGCGAGAAGAGGAGGCGGTGCGGGCGAGAAGAGGAGGCGGCGCGGGCGAGAAGAGGAGGCGGCGCGGGCGAGAAGAGGAGGCGGCGCGGGCGGAGATGCCCCGCGGCGGCCGCGCTTGCGGGCTAAAGGTAACCAGTGGCGCTGGAGTTGAAGCCATGCGGTTTTCCGCGACTCCAGGGACCCGCAAGCCGGCGCGTCTCGTCCGGTTGGGTCTTCGTCGGGTGGGCCTGAGGGGGCAGGGCAGGCGACCGCCCGGCTCCCCGGGCTCGTAGGGGGGAGTTGGGCGCTGTGGCTGGCGGCACGGCCCCAGGACTAAGGCGAAGGCCGCTGCCGGTCGGTTTCCTGTCCAGTGGTGCGCAGAGTTCCTGCCCTGAGAAACACGAGGGTGGAAGTGGGCTTCTGGGAGTTGACTCTTGGACGAGTGTGAGCTGTATTTACCCGCGCTGGTGTTTTATCTCCTTTTTTACTTGGTCGTATAACGCATCGTGATAGCTGTGGACTTTGGGATGTCTGCCACTCTTTCCCAAATATCGCTGTTGCTACATTTTCCCTCAAATTTTCTCGGAATCGTTCTTTTCCTGACATGATGTGGGAGAGGGAGAGGTTTGGTGCTGTGTTCCTGTCTATATCCAGCGCCCTCTGCAGTTTGTAGGCACGGGGTAGGTGTGTGGGAGCTATTGCACGGACAGTGACATTTTAAGTGATTGCATCCTTTTGTTTCATCAGTTGTGCTAGTTTTGGTGTGGGTCCTTTCTTATTGCGTACAAATACGTTTGTCTCAGTATTATCCATGTTTTAAACAGCACCTCCTTTCTCGACTTTTACTCAAAAATCTACTAAAAAAAAAATAGTCCACATGTATTGGCTCAACTTCCTTAGCATTATGCTTCCTTGTTTCTTACATACCATTGAATACCAGACCACACTCAATTTTATGACTGATTTTAGGAGATTAAAAGAAAACACAGACATTCTAGTTTCAAAAATACTAAAATGTGGGGGAAAAAAAGAAGTATATAAACATTGTAAACCAAAAGCTATTTTCTTGTCCACTGAGGCATTTGACACGTTTGCCACCTGCTTTTACTTTTAGAGCGTCAATGTTGGTGTCCTGATTTTGTTTCCCACAACTGGTGATTTACTTCTCTTTACTGGCTTCTGCCATGTTCTAATTTTTTTTTTTTTTTTGTCTTTTTCCTTTTTTATCGGTACCAGGGATCGAACTCATGACTGCCTGCTTGCAAGGCAGGCACTTATGCAGCTGAGCTAAATCCCCAGCCCCCATGTTCTAATTTTTGACCTTGTGCCTTTTCTCTCTTTACACGTTTGCTCTGAACAAATTTATACATCAGTATTAACTTACTGTCTGTAGAGATGACTTTAACATCTTCATTTGACCTTTTCGGTGACGTTTTAAACTCAGTGTGTCATGAAATCATTTTTTCATCCTTAATCCATCAAGCCTTGAGATTTATAAATCCTCCTGATTGATAAATCTTTGTGGCTGATTTGTTTTTGTTTTTTTGCGACAGGATCTCACTATATAATGTAAGCTGACCTTGAACTTGCAGCAGTTCTCCTGTCTGAGCTTCCTGAATGCTGGAATTACTGGCATATCCCTCCCCACCTGATTGGAATCTTCGGTTTTTGATGTGATATTTATTTCTGCCCTCTTCATTCTATCATTTTTTTCAACAGTAACATTCGTCATTGTATGCTGTGTAACAGGTTGCCTCAAAAGTAGCTTATATTGCAAGGAAAACGATAAAAAAAAGTAGTTTATAACAAATGTTTACTATTAATGAGAGTAAGGAATCTGAGCGTGACTCCTGTAGTTGTAGGTCAGTATCACCCACAAGATGGCAGTCAAATAAAGGGTCATTGAAGCTGGAAGATTACTGTCAAGCCCACTCACATGATTGTTGGCAGGTCTCAGTTCTTTGAGATTTCCAGAAGGCAACTCACAGCATGGTAGCTGGCTTTTCTATGACCAGTATAGGGAGTAACCAAGATAGGCCCATCTGTCTTTTGTAACCTAATCTCAGAAATGACACAGCATGGGGCTGGGGATTTAGCTCAGTGGCATAAGCGCCTGCCTGGCAAGTACAAGTTCATGAGTTCGATACCTTGAGTTTGGTACCATGAGTTTGGTACTTCAGTACCAAAAAAAAAAAAAAAAGACAACATCATACAGCAGATTACCACTCTGGTATAGCATAGTAGGTCACTGTTAAAAAATGTGAATGACAAGAGGAAGGACTCATGGCAATCTCAAAGCCTGGCTATCCTAATAGTTTTGCTGTCAGAATTTCTTTTTCATTTTGTCACCTTAGGTCAGGCTTAAGGTACTGTGTGTATGGATGATACCAACTAACATGCTCCCATTACATCTTAGGAGGTGACTTTTCCTTAGGTATTCTTTTGTTACATGGTTATTACTCTGCTTAAAAATTGTCTTACTTAACTACATAATAAGTTACTTTAGACTTACCCTGTGCTGATGCCTTACATGTATTTTAATTCTTCTAGCAATTCTGTTAGTCTGATAGATAATGGAACTGAGGCTCAGCAGAGAGGTTAACTATTGCCCAGAGTCATCTAGCAATTGAATGAAAAGGCTACTATTTATACTCAGGTGGTCTACTTCAAAGTTTGCTTTTGTTCATGTTCCAGTATTTTTATAGTTTTCACACTATGATTGTTGCCTTATTTCTTAACTTTATAGCTAACTTCATTATCTTTTAGATAAATTGGACTATTGTTTTTACCATACTTTCTTTTTGTTGTTTTTTTCTTTTTATCCGTACCGGGGATCGAACTCACGACCGCCTGCTTGCAAGGCAGGTGCTTATGCTGCTGAGCTAAATCCCCAGCCCCTATACTTTCTTGCTGCATGGAGTTTGCTATGTTCTTTGGAAAAATGCAATTTTTCTCATTTCTGCTTGTTCAAATCTTTGTCATTCATCAAGGCCTACCTCATGTCCCACCTTCTTGCTAAGTATCCCAGTTATGAGCATTCTTCTATACCCCTGTGGAATTTATTTCTATCACTTGCAATTTCATGTCTGGTATTAGATTTATTTATGTCTATACTGTTATTCCCTTCCAATATAAACATTGTAAAGTTAGGGACTTAATCGTTAACCCAGTTGAGAGGAAGAAAAGAAACGGGAAAAAAAGAAAAGAAAATTCTCATTTGCAGACTGGCCCAGTGTTGGGACACTTCTTCAGCGGTTACCCAGGGTGTTTACATTTCTACCTTAACCCTTTTTTTTTAAATTTAAAAGATTTTTTATTAGTACATGTTTGTGGTGCATAGTGATTACATTCATTGTGGAAAGTTGATTCATATGCATAACATTTGAATTCTCTTTCTGCCTTAACATTTATTTCCTGAATGTCAACCAGAGGTGAAAGTTTGGGATGTTCTTAAGCTTTTTCTGAGTATACCAGACATACCTATGGCCTTCCTTTAAATAAAAATGTTTGACTTATCTCCTTCACCAGCCTGTTCCTTTCTAGGCATTTTATTCTGTATATCTTGTCCTGACTTGCTCTAGGCTGATGGGCCCCATACTTTTATTCCTTTGTGACAAATACTGCCTGGTAAGCTGCTCCATTCCTGGGAATAATCCAGGTTGTGTGAAGGAAAGGCAAACCCTTGTTCTGGTTCTTTAGGGAACTGCAAAACATGTCCAAATAGACAACCACAATATTTGAGAATTAAGGTCAGTGTTCTACTCAGCAGTGTCAAATCTACTGGAAGCATGAGGTGCTATTTTTCATGACTGCTGCCAAGCTAAAGGTCAAGGAACGATAGACAGGTAATTTCAAGTTATAACATCCTTCTAATGGTGAGTGGCAACTTCTTTCTTTACCAGCTGTCCTTTGGTTTTTGTGTTTTTGACCAGATTCCAGAGTTTCCTCATTTTCTACTGAGAATGTGATTCTTTTCCTCTTTGACTTAGTTATTTTGAGGCTTGGCTGGAAAAGAAATTAGAAAATGATTTTTAGAATTAAGTTTTCCATCCTTTAATACTTGTATATATTCATACAAGCTACGATTATTACTCCTATTTCTCTAAACTATTGTGTATGCATGAGTTTAGTTTTATTGTCCTTTTTGGTTTTGGTTTTTTGAGACAAGATCTTAATGTGTACTTTAGGCTGGCCTTGAACTTGCTCTGTAGGCTAGGCTGGCTTTGAACCTGTGACTCTCTTACTCCCTTCTACGTGCTGGCATTCAGAGGATGTGCTACTATACCCATTGTAGTCTGTAGCTTTTTTGTTTTAATTTTAGCTTATCCACTAATTGTATTGTTTATTTATTTATTTTGTGGACAGAGCTTATGAGTTATTTTTGTATTGTTTGAATTTTGTATTTGTGTTTTCTGTGCCTGAGCTATTACAGGTCCATTTGTTGTTATTTGCTTTTAACCACTGGACTAGGTATATTTATTTGTGCAGGTTGAGAACTTCAAGGCCTTCAAGAGCCCTATTCATATTGATGATCTAGTGTACTTGTGTATTTATTATAATACTTTTCCAAAAGATGGCAATAAAATGTCTTTCCTAAAAAATTGAGTATATTTTGGCAGTTTTCCAATAGAAAGAAGTAAAGTGGCCTGAGAAAAGAGGTCTTTTTCTTACCTGTATGAAGATGTGGCTGTATTGTGAATATGGCCTTTAGCTTTAGATCAGTCCTGTTCTGTCAGAGATATGTGACATCATGTCATCTCTTCAAATTTCTGTATCTGTAAAATAGGATTAATACCACTCATTTTAGCCTAAAGTATCATCTAGGATCTAGATGAGGTAATATATGACTCATTTGCCACATTGTCTGACACTTAGAGTCTTAAGTGAACTATAGTTAACTCATTCATGCTCATTTCCATTGTAGATGGTTTCAGTGTAGTAGTATGCAGTAACAGAATTATGTCTGAGATGGTTTGCAATTAACAAAGAGATTTAGTTGAAAGACTAGCTTAATTGGGAGCCTGAGGCAGGAGGATTGTTGCAAGTTTGAGACCAGCCTGAGTTAGAAAGTGAGCCCAAGGCCAGCCTGCCCTGCATAGCAAAACCCTATCTCAAAAAAAGGAAAAAAAAAGAAAAAGACTAGCTTAGTATTTTTAAAAAACTAATTGTTTTTAATTTAAGGACTACTGTATTTGATTCAGACTTTCTTCTTAGGAAGAATAGTAAAGCTAGTATTGAGCCAAAAGGGTAAAGATTTGGTTAGGGGAAGGAATGAAGGATATGCTTGACTACATAGAGTGAACTTGTTAACGAGCTGCCTGGTTGGACTAATCAGTGGCAGGTTAGTGGATTGCTGTGCCTCTGTTGCTGCTGCTGCTGGTACTCCTCCTTCTCCTCTTTCTGGTTGGGGGTTGAACCCAGGGCAGAAGGAAAGAACTAAGGAGAATTTATTATTTACCCTTGAGTGGGGAATGATTAATAAAGCAAAACCAGACCCAGGCTGTGATACATTAGCAATTGTCATTCATTTTGGTCTTTTTTCTCATGATTTAGATCAAGAAGAGTTTGAGCATATGCCAATGTTTAAAAATGTTCAATTATAAAGGCCCAGAATGATCAGTTTAAATGCATTCTTAATTTGCCCTCAGAGAATATAAAAGGGACAAATAGTTATTATATTTTGTTGCTGGTACTCCTGGGGTTGGGAGTATTTGTAAGGAAGGCTGGTGTGGGAAGTTGGTTTTTAGCATAATTTTCACTTGAAAGAAATGTTTTGAACTAATGGTAATACAGGCCTAGTAGAAAATAATTCTGCTGCTTTTCTCTTTTAAGTTTTGAAAGAAATATACCCAACACTGTTACATTAAGAAATAATAAATTGTGGGTTGTTGAGAAAAATGAAACCAAAGAGGGCTAAATTGCCTGATATTAGGATTCCAGCATCAAAATTTTTTTCATTTAACTATACAAAATTAGGTTGTGTAGTTCCAGGGGTAGAGCTCTTGCCTAGCATGTATAAGGCTCCAAGTTGGATCTTTCATACACAGGAAAACAAACAACAAAAACTAAAAATATAGTGAATTAGCTGGGTTATTTAAACATTGGTTAGGTGTACATAGATACCAAAATTAGGTCTCCACAATGGCAAAAAACAAATAAAACAAAAAAACTATTTTGAATTACTTAGGATTGTTTAAACATTGCTTAGCTGCTTGTCAATACCAAAACTAGGTCATTGTTTTACTTGTAGAGTGGAGCATCTGTTACTACTTTGGATAATGGTAAGCTTCAATTTAAAATTATACAAAGATGATACAAAATATAACTATCTGTCCCTTTTATATTCTCTGAAGGCAAATGAAGAAATGAATTTAAACTGATCATTCTGGGCCTTTATAATTGAACATTTTTAAACATTGAAATGGTATTGTCTTCCCTGAAACTTTTCCTGGAAGACAAAAGATAATCTGAGGTAGTGTAGATTGGGCCCGCATTTTGGAGCAGTGACTGAAGTTGCCTACAGATTTATTCAGCACATATAGAAACTTATTTAGAAAATAGTCGATAAGCTAGTAAATGCTATAAACTAGAACCTTAAGAACTTGTCAGTTGTAGAATGTAAGTTATAAATGACGTCTTGGTCAGGAAACATGAAAATAATATTGTATACTAATGAAAGTGCACATGATTAATTTCCAAATAAATGATTCAAAGGTCAGAGGGTAGTAATAATACAGAAGATATCTAGAGGGACCCATTGGAATAGGATTGAAGAGTTGAAAAGGCAGCAGTCTGGCAGAAAACAGTATGTGAGCAAAGGATTATTTTCTGCAACTGTAGGTTTTAGTGTTTGTTTTATTTTTAAAAATTATTTTATTTTATTTTAAAGAGAATAGAACCCAACAAAACAAAACAGAATACTGCCAATCAGAACAAAGCAATGAAAGTGGTACAGAAGAGGATAATAGGAAATCAACAATGACCATCATAATGTATTTTATACCATCAGTCATATAAAAATTAAAGCACAATAAAACCAATCAAAACATAACATGGAATAAGACAAAATTGGGACAAAACAGAACAATGCTGCACATTATCTTCAAAATGGTTGCTGGCGGGGCGGGGGGATAAAACAAAACAGTAAAATGGTACAAAGCATTGGATTTCAAAACAAGACATGAAGGTACCCCACAGTTGACACAATGTACACTACCATTCACAAGGTTGACCCCCAGACCACCAGCCCCAGGCCTCCAGAGTCAGCCAAACAATACAAGTATCAAGGTGTCCCCTTCCCTTCAGTTGCTATGGACTCACCCCAGTCCTCCAAATCAGTGTGGGTCAAGTGTGGGGAGGGGAGATGGGTTGCAGGAGGATGCTTTTCTGGTTTTTCAGCCCAAACACTGGCTGGTTCTGTTTCATGGAAAGGCATGGTTTCTTTTCTGGCTGAGTCTCTTATCCATCAGCATGGCAGAGCCTGCTTCATCGGAAGGCTTGATTTCTCTTTCGGTTGAGGCTCTTACCATTTTGTATAGTGGATCCTGCTTCATTGGAAGGTGGAGTTTCTCTTGTTGAGGCCCTTTCCAATCTGCATGGTGGAGCTTGCTTTACAGGAAGAGTTTTAGTATTTGTTTTGTCTCACTGCTTTGATTTTTTTTTTCACCTTCAAGGATTCCTGTTACTCTCATTTCTTTTAGTCTTTTTTCGTCATTGGATGTATGATAGTGTCTTTTCCATTACTGTGACAAAATATTTGAAGTTGAATAATATGTAATTAAAAGAGGTTTATTTCATAGTTATGAAGGTCCAGGAAGATGGTACTGATACGGGCTTGATTCTGCAGTGAACTTGGGGAGGATGTCAGGAATGTGTGTGAGAACACTTGGAAGATAGAGAGGTGGTGTGGTGAGATAGGAAGACAGATAGCAGGAAGAGACCAATCTTACTCTTTTATAAAAGACAACTCACTCTCCTGGGACTAACTAGGGTAACATGTTCATGATGTGGCCATAATTTGTATGTCTTACTGCCTTGGGACTGAACCACCAGTGGTACATGCACAGTAGGACTGTCCCATTGGATAGTATGGGGTGGTCATGTATGAACTGATGGATCAAAGTGGCAGGAACATGTTTCCCCTTCCAAGGACAGCACCTCTCATGGTTCCTCATTAGGTTTTGTCTGTTGAAGTTTCAATCACTGCTCGCATCCTAACACTGAACTTTTGAGAGACTACCCACAACTAAAATTTCCTCCTTTTCATCTTCCGCTTTCTCTTAAAATATTTTGTGTGATAACTGTTCTGTGATTTCTTCTGGCTTAGCCCTTTTTCCTGAAATGAGTGTAAATTTTAGTCTCCTTCTGTTTTAAATGTTGTCACTTCATTTTTAAGTTATAATTCTGAACGTTTTGTTTTCAAGTAGTAGGCTACCTGATATATTGTTTCATGTCTCTGTTATGCTTTGTGTTTTGGAATGTTATTATTTTTTTTCTCCCAATAATACAGTATCCGTGAGATTTGTTTTTGATAGTTTTCTATTATTTTTATGTCATAGTTTCTCTGAAAATTTAAGAGATAAGATTCAGGATAGCTTTTTCTACGTTGTATTTTCTTATGGTTTCCAAAAACATGGTCACTCATTTACTTGTTATGTAGATGCTTCTTGTGTTTTTTTGTATTTTTTGGTATTGATATCTAGTTGTTCTATCTTTATGTAAAGATTCAGACTTTTTTTTTGTCTTTTTGAGACAGGGTCTCACTATGCAGTTCAGGTTGGCCTTGAGCTCACTTTGTAGCCTAGGCTGGTCTTGAACTCTTAACAGTCCTCCTGACTCAGCCTACCGAGAGCTGGGATTACAGGTGTGAGCCACCATGCCTGGCTAAAGATTCAGACTTTTAAAAACTATGCCCTTACTGCTGCCATTGTAGAATTTCTTGATTGTTGTCATCTTAATTGTATGTTTAATATAATTTTTTTTTTCCTTTAAAAACTTCACAGAGGAAAAGGAATTGGGATACAGGGTTCTCATCCTTTCTAGAAAAGAGACAACTGCAAAGAACAGATCTCAGGACAGTGGGAGCAGCTGCCTCCCTCTCTGAAGCTTGGCTCAAGTGTGGAGAAGGATTTCAGGGCACTTCTGGTAGTCAGGTAAAGGAGCTATAAAATTGTTTTCCCTGAATGCACATAGAAAATTCCTGAGGTCATTGTAATTACATTTCTTTGGAATTCTGTTTCTTATTGTCTTTCAGAACATTTTAATTCATATAATTTTTTTCATTTCTTGAATTCTTTTGATAAATGTGGCAAGTTAGTATTCACTTCTTTATGCCATTGTAGAAGAACCTCTCTACTTCTACATGAAGGATATATACTGAGAATGTTCTCAGGAAGTGAAACCATTGAGCATACTATAAAGCAATATATTTATGAAATGTTTATATATTTAGAATCTTTTGGCAGTGAAATTCTAATTAATGTTTGTAAGTGTAATAACTTACAATATAGAAGAATGCTGTCTTAAACTCTACTGAATGTGGGTACAGATAGTAATGAGGACCTCAACAGTGCTCAGTCATATATATGAACAGTTATTAACATTGAATATTTTGATCCGTTGGCTTTCTGTTCAGAACCTGGAAAAATGTAAAAATAAATTTACAAGTATATGAGGAGTATGTATTTGGGGAACACTTATATTGGTGAATATAAGTAAAGGAGCTGGATATGGTACTGCATGCCAATAATTCCAGCATTCAGGAGGCAGGAGGATCACTGTGAGTTCAAGGTCAGCCTGGGCTACATGGTGAACTTAAAGCCAGCCTGATCTACATAGTTAGACCCTGTCTCAAGAAAAGAAAAGAAAAAAATAAAAAATAAAGGGAACCAAGAATATGTTAAGGAGAATACAGTTTAATACTAAATGTTTTATAAAATATTGTTGGTAAGTCATTATTATTTTCCCTGCAGTCATTAACAAATGAAAAGGCAGCAACCGTAGGAAGGCACCTTGAATTTTCTCCAAGATCGAAAAAAGGTAAGTATTACTTGATTTCTTGACACAGTAATATAAGGCTAATTGATCCTTCTGTATGCATGTATGTGCATGCATGTGTGTATTTTATTAGCTTTTTTAGTTACTTACATAGTTTGAGGAGACTTTATTCATTATTAACATAATGTAACGTAGTGACATTATCAAAACGATGTAGAAATATTTTTGAGAATGCTTTCTTTCATCTCTCCATTCTCCATTCTTCCTGTCCCCTACAGGTAATGATTAACATTTTTTTGTGTGTCCTTAATGGATTCACTTTTATCATAGAACCCAGAAGGTTCAGGCTCATAACTCCAGGGTTTAACAAAAAAGGACCTCGGTTTGACCATTAGCACTAAAAAAAAATGCATTTGGAAAATAAACTTATGAGCTATGCTTTAGGAATTGCATTACTTTAGGCTGTGAAATTCTTACCTGGTAAGTTTGTTAGGGAAGCTTTTTAGCTGCAAATACTAGGAAACTGTCTAAATACTAAGGAGTGAATTTATCTTCTACAAGACGTTCAGAGAGCCCTGCTCTTTCAGAGCTCTGCAACCTTAGTGTGGTGATAGTTGTTATGCATTTTGAGTAGTTGAATTCTCCAGATTGAGTTCTCTGGAAGAGACCGGTGCTAAGGATTTTTGACAAGTAAATTTTGCCTTTCTTTGTGAAGAAATAACTTTTTCCAGGACTTGTATCTTTGGCTAGAACCTTTACATAGAGTAACCTCCACTAGTTTAGTGAATTTAGGGAACTTTTTTTACGCTGGTATGTTGCTGCCAATGAAATTTGGATAGTAGTAGAAAAAATTGTGCCCTGTCAGTCAAATACCCTGTGGTAGTTGGGACTAATAGATCTCACTGTGTCCTGACTATAATCTTGGGAAAACAGACTAACCACAACAGCAGTTTCTGCATCTGAATTGGAATAATTCTTGTGCTTCACTGGTTATTATGAATCAAATCAAATTAAATTAAAGTGGTCCAAATCTTACAATTAGTAGGTGTTTAATTAATAGCAGCAGTTGCTGTCATCTCTGTCAGCCAAAAGAACTATAGTATGGGAGAGCCTGCCCAAAGTTCTTCTGTGGAGCAGAATAACTTTTTGTGATCGAGAAACTAAACATTCTAAGCCATATTCTAAGCCATATTATTTCGTTAACACTTAACAGGGTTCTTTTCTGTGCAAATGAATAAAATACCCCAAAATGTTTTTTGAAAATTCATAAAACACTGCTTTGTAGAAGAAGCTGGCATACATCTTTTTGTACTGTGATAATCTTCCGATGGAACCACAGAGTCTACTTTTCTTCTTAGAAGTGCCAAATACTGTGATATTGAAAGATCAGTTTAATTCTGATTTTAAAAAGTTTGATTTTAGTACATGAGGAAACTGTCTTTTTCTTAGACAAACTGGCTTACATCTTTTTCTAGAGATTTAGAAAGCATAATGTTTAGCTTTGAGAGAGAGAGAGAGAGAGAGAGAGAGAGAGAGAGAGAAAGAAACATTTTAAATAAATTACTATCTGGTATTTAACTACAAAAGAATCTTTTGGGATATTTTCTCCATGCCAATCCATAGTTGACACACTGCTATACTTTCAACTTTATAGAATGTTCAATTTATTTTCAATAAAGCTTGTACCAATGTATAATTACTTCCTTGCATCTGCAGAAAAAGTTAATTATTTAATAAAGGGCTACTAATAAGAAAAAGGAGGTATGATATTTCTAGAGCTCGTTCACATTTAGAACAATAGCTTCTTCAATTTCTTTGTTTCCTTTCCTTTCCTTTCCTTTTCTTTCTTTCTTTCTTTCTTTTTTTTTTTTTTTTTTTTGTCTTTTTGAGACAGGGTTTTCTCTATGCAGTTCAGGCTGGCCTTGAACTTGCTTTGTAGCCTAGGCTAGTCTCCAACTCGAATGATCCTCCTACCTCAACCTCCCTACTGCTGGGATTACAGGTGTGAGCCACCACTCCTGGCTCCAACAGTAGCTTTTTTGAGCCAGGTGCATCACATGCCTATAATCCCAGTACTCAGGAGGCTGAGGCAGGAGGGGGCCATCCTGGGTCACTTGATGAGTTCAAGGCTACCCTAAACTATATAACCAGACTTGTCTCAAAGAAACAAACAAGCCTTCCAAATAAAAAACAAAACAAACAAAAAGAACAGTAGCTCCTAAAGTATTTAAGATAGGCTATAGATAAAAATTCCAAGATAAAAATTTAATACCACATTTAAAGTAAAGCACTATTTTTATGAGAGGTAGGGAGCAGAATTGGGGGATATACTTTTGCCAAGTATGCATAAGGTCAAATGCTTGTCTCCATGTCTTTGATTCCTCAACTGTAAAGTGTTGGTAAAAGAGAGTTGAAAAGGGGAGTTCATAAAGGAGATGGAAAGGGATAAGAGAAGGTAACACATGAATGTTGGCAAAGGATCTTGCCAGAGGCTCAAGGAGGAAAAAGATAAATACTTAAGATGGAGAGAGTCTGGGATAATTGTAGATAATGATTTTCTTTTAAAAGGCAGGATTTCAAAAAAAAAAAAAAAAAAAAAGAAAAATGTATTTACCAAGCAAAATGAAAGGGGAAAGAACAAAAGGATCTTGTATTTGTTTAGTACCCCGCTCCTGAAATACCCTGTATTTTGTCAAAAATCTTTGTTGATTGGGTCAAACCTTCTGCCCCCTACAGGGATTACTAGGGTTTTATTATTTGTTGGTTTTCTTTTCTTCCTATTGGTTCATTGGCTTCTTAAGCAGAGAGCTCTCTCTTGCTCATCTTTGTATCCCAAATGTGTTTGTTTCTAAGGACTGCCACAAAAAAAGTACACAAATTGAGTGGCTTAATTAATAAAAGCTTACTGTCTCAGTTTTGGAGACCTGATATCCAAAATGAAGGCATTGGCAAGATTGGCTCCTTTTGAGGGAAGGAACTTGTTTACCAGGCAGGCACTGTGCCACTGAGCTATATCCCTGGCCCAGAGATTACTATTACAGAAAGAAAGTGTGGTTTAACCATGCCTTTCTATTTTGACAGCATTTGTTTTCATTAGATCATCAACTAAATATATGTCTTTCTGTTTAGTCTTCTCTTTACGGTCTTTTGAGGTCTTTAAAAGAGTTTCTTCACTTAGGCTTATATGTTTTAGTTTCTTCTAGGTATTTTACATTTCTTAGCTATTGTTTTAAATTTTATTTTTATTATTATTATTTTTTTTGGTACTGGTGATTGAACTCATGACCTCACACTTGTCAGGCAGGTGCTTATGCTGCTAAGCTAAATGCCTGGCCCTCGTGTTTCTGTATGTTTTGAACATTGTTATTTTTATTCCAGTTTCTTATTATTGGTAGTATTTTCAATTGAATTCTTTAATTTTCCATGAATTAATTTTATAGATTGTGATACTTCTTTGTTTGTCAAAACTTTATGTGAATCTACTTTGTCTCTGATAAAATGTTTCATTACATACAGAGTTTGTTCTTAAATATTTTTTAAATATCAGGGCTCTTAGCATGGCCAAAGAAGCACACAAAGTGCTTCTGGTATTCATATGTATTGGTTTTGTGGTTTGCTTAGTGTTCTTTTTTTCTTTCAGTTTCATTAACTAGTCTAGGAAATAATAGTTATATAATTTTTATCTCAAGTCTTATTTTTTCTAGTTCTCTTTTGTGCCCACGTCATTTTTTTCCTTTTATAACTTAACTAGTTCTACTTCTTTTTCTTTCTGTAATTTGGCTTTAATTTAGAGAATTGTTGCCAGTTATACGCAGAAGATAAGTAAATTGGACATGTGATATTGTTTTCACTATCTTTAGAGTTATATATTTTTGTGACTTTGGCAAATACACGTAAAATCTCATTCTGATAAATGACCATATCCACTGATGATAATTTGTCTTTTCTTTTTCTCTAGCAGACACTATCACCAATAAGAGTACCACTGAGCTTACAGATATAACATGGAGTTCCAGTGGAAGTGATCTGTCAGATGAAGATAGAATACTTTTTAAATCACAAAAAGATAACGGACGTGGCTTTAGAGTAGACAGATTTTGTAACAGGAATATTTTAGGTCCAGAAGATGGGGCCAGTGAAGGTAAATTACTAATTTTGTAAGAAATCTAATTTTGTTTAAATACTGGGTTCAATATTGAAAAATACTGACATTCCTTTTATGTATTTGTAATTGATTGTGCATTTTCTGAGTCCCAACCTCATTGCTACACCTTTTAGAAAAATTTTCTCAGTTAATATTTTTCACAATTCTAATGGAGAGTCATACTGGTATTATTTTTACCGTTAACAACTTAGGCTGAGATTTGTTAGAATTGATTGGAATTCTGTTTTCAATCTCTTTGGTACCAAAGCCAGTTCTTGCAATTCCCACATAGTGCTCCACCCATGCTGCCTTCGTATAAATTTGTTAGTAAATACTGTGACAGCCAACAATGTGGTGGAAGTATAACTGATCAACAAGTTGCTATGCAGATGATATTTTATGTGGTATCACGTTTTAGACAGTTTAAAACAGCATTTCTCAACCTTGACATTTTTGCTGTTCACTGTGGGAAGAACTTTCCTCTGGATCCTGTATGTGATGTTTTGCAGCATTCCTGGCCTCTATCTGCTAGATCATGATAGTACCCTCAACTCTAGTTTTTTTTTTTTTTTTTTGTCTTTTTCCTTTTTATCGGTACCAGGGATCGAACTCATGACTGCCTGCTTGCAAGGCAGGCGCTTATGCCACTGAGCTAAATCCCCAGCCCCTCAACTCTACTTTTAACACCCCAGAATATTTCTAGATGTTACTAGAGGTCCCCTTAAGGACAAAAATCACCTCCAGTTGATAAATATGTATATATTATTATGGAAAGAACATCCTTCTCTAAATTTTAAAAATACGTGGAGTATTTAAAAGTCTTAATGCTTTCAAAATAAATTTGTAACTTTTAACTCTAACTGTTCATATTAGTTACTCAGTCTAGGTTAGATTTGGACCGAGAGCCTCTCAGGAAAGTGGTTAAATTCTTGTGATCACTTTGTATCCATTTTGGTAACTACCACTGACATTTTAGTAGGCATTGGGTGAAATGATACTCTGAGTTTACACATAAGCTAATAATGCTTATGTTATTATTTCAAACATTTAAGTTGAAATACTTTGCAGTGTAACTCTTGGTTTGTCTTCACAGGTCTCAGAACACAATTTCAATATTAAAAATTGTATTCTTTTGAAAAATAGTATGCTATATGAATAATTTCCCAATAAAGCTTGTATTAAATAAAAACTATGTTGTTCTCATCTATTAAGCAGTTTTCAAAGCTGATTTTAAATTACAGGATGCTTTGGTATAATTACCTTAACATGAAATAACAAATTGTTGACTTCTTTTTCAATAAAAGTAGTTAATTTAGAACTAAGATATGAGTGAGCTGGGAGAAACTAGAGATAATGAGAAGGAATATGCTTTTTGCTGTGATTTTAAAAAATTTTCCAGCAACATAGATAATGATAACTACTGAGAATAAAATATTGATTTTAAAAAATAACAAGGATATAAATTAAGTTAAAAATTATATTTTTAGATGAATTACAGTTTATCGACTGGGAGGGCGACAGTGACAGGGAAGATGCTAGTGAATATAATGAATGTGAAGATGAGGACGGTGCTGTGGAAATCTCAGATTGTGCTTCTTGTGCTAGTGGTCATTCTTTGCCAAGTGATGAGAAGATACCTGAGCTTCCTAAGGTAAGAACTAGTTACTTAAAAAACTTTTATTGTTTTCTGTAACATTTTTTAATCCTAACCATTTGGTGTTCCTATACCTGCTTCTCATTCCCTTCTCAGGGACAACCAGTTTTGTCTCTCAGTGTATTTTATTTTTAACCACCTTATCTCTGAATAATATGCTTGTGCTGTATTTATTTATTTATTTATTTTTAAATTTTATTTAAGGAAAAAAAGGAAAAAAAGCAGAGAAAGGGTACAAGTTATACAGATTTACAGAAAAAAATGAACAGTAGGAAATCACTAGTTAATGGATTACATATTGTCATCTTAGAAATAATTGTTCAAGTTACAAAATTAAAGCTTACAAAGTCGACATTCCAATAGTAAGACTGTAAACAGTTCTGTTCAATGATCCAACAAAACTCAGTAATATCATTATCTATCTTACATGTCGGGGTTGCTCCCGGCCGGCAGGAAAGACACACGACAAAGTCTGGCGGTGTGCAACCTTGCCTTTATTTGTCTCCGCGTGGGCCCCGCGAGGCCTCCTCTCTGTCACCAGCCCTTTCTCGCCGGTGGACTTTCTCTATCCCTCTCTGTGCTTCTTCCTCGTGGCGGGAGAGGCATTTACTTTTATAGGGCAACAGTAGCCAATCAGTTCAAAGCGCGCGATGCGGGCTGACTGGCTAACATCAGCTGTTGCTAGGCAGACTATCTTACAGAGCGGGTTGTTTAAGTCGCCAGCGCAATCAGGGGGCAGGGAGCAGGCGCCAACTTGGCTCACTCGATGGGAGGGGCAATCTAGCTCAGGCTCCGCTCCCACCCACAGGCCCTACGTCCGCCAAGTAAGGCGACCGGTGTCGGCCGCGGCTCCCAACACTTACACACTTAAATTTACATGCAGTTGTATCATTTAGAGCACTTTCTTTTCCTCTCTTTTGTACAATGGCAATTACACATTTTGGGTTTTGTTGCTCCCACAGTTCTTATTACTTTTTTGGAGGAGAGTAGAACCAAATGTGACATAACAGAACAGAGTCAGTCAAATCAAAAGGGTGGACATAATAGATAATGTAAAAACATAATACAAGGTGATCAACAATGGTTATCATAATGCCTCCCACTATCTCAAAAAGAATTGCCTGTGTATCATCAGTTATAATAAAATTGAACAAAAGAGTAAAGAATGAAACCAACAAAACCAAAACATTGGAGACATTATAGGTCTTCAAAAGTAGATAATAGTCAACCAAAATGGGCGTCATAATGAATCCCACTATCTTCACAGCTGTTGCCTAAACTTTCGAACCTGGTACTATCAAGCAAAACAAAATAGAGGGACATCAGTCAAAACAAGATGGTGAGAGCAATACAGAGTTTCAAATCAAGATAATGGAGAGTCAAAGTGGGTTACTATAATATATCCTGCTATTTTTTAAATTTATTATTCCCTTAATTAAAAGGTTAAAAATAAAAAAGTAAACAATAAAATGGAGATTGAGATAAAAGAGGGCAAAACAGCAAAACAGCGCAGATCAAAACATAGCCATTTAAGCAAAATAGTGTTTCACCACAAGATAATCCCGAAATAAAAGTAGTTACCATATTGTCTCTTTCCTTGAAATCTTTGAGTATAACTTCGTATACTGTAGCATCAAATATATCAAAACAATGTAAAACCATTTAAGAGAATGACAGCATTACAGGGTATTTAGAATCAACTAACAGAAAATGAACAATGGTTTCTGTATAATCCCTTGTCTATAAAAGTTTTTGCTTATACTATCATATATAATAAAATCCAATAAGATACAACCTGTTTAGACCAATGGAGACAGAAGAACAAAAGCTTGATGAAACTTCAAAACAAGATGATACTAAATCAGTATTACCTATTAAGATGTCATTTTCTCCAAAATAGCTGTTCCTATCATCCAATCTTCTCTGCCTCATTTCTGTTGAGCTCTTTTTCTGTCATTAGTTGTCAGTTTGTCTTCATTTTCTTTTCTGCTCCATTCATTGTGGCCTCTCTGCCACTATTTCTGGATTCTTCGTATTTTTCTATTTTAGAATATCCTGCAGTATTCTCTGTAGAGTTGAATTGGTGGTTGCAAATTCCCCTAGTTCCTCTTTATCCTGGAAGCACCTTGTTTTTCCATCAATTTCCAGGGATAGTTGTGCAGGATATATCATTCTTGGCTGGAGATTATTATCTTTCAAAGCTTGAATTATTTCCCCCCCTGCTCTTCGTGATTTGATGGTTTGTGCCAAGAAATTTGCTGTAATTCTGATGGGTGTTCCCTTGTAAGTGATCTGTTTCTCGTCTCTTACGGCTTTTAATATTCTGTTCTTGTATTGGATTTCTGGAATTTTAATTATTACATGCTTGGGTGTAGCTCTGTTTGGGTTGTAGGTGGCTGGGGTCCTGTATGCTTCATACAACTGAGTATCTTTACCTTTTGCTAAATTAGGAAAATTCTCCTGGATTATTTCTGTGAATAGCTTTTGTAGTTCATTTGTTTGTGTCCCTACTTCTTTTATGTTCTTAATTCTTAAGTTATAGACCCTCTTATCGTCTTCTAGTCTTTGTATTATTGGTTTGTTTCTTTGTTATTTTTAAGAATTTTCTCATTTCATTCTCCCATATTACAAATCTGCCCTCCAGTTCAGATAATCTGTCCTTATTTTCTTTCAAGCTGTTATGCCAGTTTTCGATAGACTTTTTAGTTTCCTGGTAATCTCTTTGAACCTGCTTCACGTATTCTATGCTTTCTCTATTTTTCTCCATCAAACAATTCTCCCCTCTTTTTCTGTTCTTCCATTCCACCATCTGTTTTTTCTTGGGTGGTGCTTAGCATTTCTCTAACAATTCTGCTTATGTCTAGCTTCAGGTGATTAATAACTTCATTCCTGAAGTTGTCTATGAGGCTCTGGAGATAGCACTTTATATCTATTGGTGCTGTGTCTGCTATTGCCTCTTTCTCAGGATTGGGGGCCAAGGACCTTTTCTTGTTGCTGCCTCTTCCCATATTCTTTGTTCCTTATATATGCAAGCGTATATAGGAGGCCCAGCCTCCTTCCTTGTTGGCCACAGTCTGATTGAATTGCGCCGGCTAGGTGTTCCCGCCCACCACAGTGCACCAGGAAGTTGCAGACTAGGCAGCCTATGTGGGGCCCGCTCCTCCAGGTCAATCTACCTCCAGGCTCTGGGACCTGGGTTGTGCTAGCCTACTGGGTCTCAGCCAGCAGTGTCATGTAGGCTAGGCACTGTCACCAATCCTGCTTGAGAGAGGAATACATGACTGAAGTCACTGCAGCGGTCTGTTCCCGCAAGTCTGCCTGGTCCCAGAATGTCCTCTGTTCGAGTGTCCTAGACCGTGGAAGAGTCCCAGTTTCTCTCACTCACCGCAGGTCAATGCACAGCTCCCTGCCTGTCCTGCTTTCATCTCCATTCACAGATTTCCGTTCTCAGAGCTTCCGTGCGTCTCTTTCCCTGCCGAGCCGATGTAGACACAGCAGTGCTGGTGGGAAACCCAAATCATGGCTTCCAATGGCATGGGCTCCAGCTTCCATGCTGAGGCTTTATTTATTCCTGTTATAGCACCAGGATTGCATTCCCAGTTGGTTTCTCTCAGCGCAGTTCGTTCTTGGGTCAGCAGGGCATATCTCCTCTTGCTTATGATTCCTTACTCCACACCATTCCTGAATTCTAAGCTGGGTCTTTCAGAGAGCCTCCGTAGCTGCTGCTATCTGTCTGCCACGTTCTCCCGGAAGTCCCGCTTGTGCTGTATTTATAAACATGGATAAATACTGATCTTTTTTTTTTTCCTTTGGTCTTCTTTGAGGCTAGGTTTCATTATATGGTTCAAGCTGGCTTTGAACTCACTTTGTAGCCCAGGCTGGCCTCGAACTGGCAGCAATCCTCCTGTCTCAGCCTCCCAAGGGCTGGAATTACACCATGCCTGGCTAAAAACTAAACTCTTCTGTTGTCCACTCTTCAGCCCCAATTATATACAGAATGTGGCCTTTTTTTTCTCTTCTTCCAGTACAGATATATCAAGGTTTGTTTAGATTATTAAGCATTTATGTCATTGTGAATCAGTAATATTGATAACCAAGACAACTGTTAAGCACTATTTTCTTTCAAACTTGTTGTTTTCCTTAGTGATTATTTTGGTTTTTATTGCTCTAGTTTTATTTACTACTTATAGCACTGTAGTTTTTCACTATGTTTAATTCTTGTTAAACTTCTCAGACCAAGTAGGCCTTCTATCAGTTTCATTTTCTTGGAGTATTCCTGCCCTCAACTTTGTTGGCAGTCAAATCTGGAGTCAGTGTCCTCTTTGCTTTATAGATGTTATCACCCTGGGTTCCCTTCACCATCATTTCAGAAATTTTTCATCTTTCCCCTGCAGATTTCCATTTTGTGCTGCACTTCATGTTTTCCTCTTTTCTGGTTTTCATACTCATTTTGGTTAAATGCATCTTCCAATAGCTTCTGAGAAATGATTTTTGGAAGATAATTTTTTTAAGACTTTGCATGTCTGCAGTTGCTTTTATCATATATTGATATGTGATGGAAAATATGTATAGAGTTTCAGATTGCGAATAATTTTCCTTCAGAAATTTAAAAGCATTGCTTCATTATCTTTTAGCTCAAGAGGTACTGCTAATGAACTGTAAGCTATTCTCATATGTAATCTTTTTAAGACCTTATTGCTAGTGATTGTGATATGCCTTGATACGGTTTTCTGCTTGGTGTTTGTCAAACTTCTTAGATCTGTTGTATCTTTGGAGTGTTAAAAACTGTGCAAAGACTTTTTTCTCTATATGTCTGTCTGTCTGTGTCTTGCCTTCCACCTTTCACCTTTTTCTTTGTTTCTTTCTGTAGTGAGGATTAAACCTGGGGACTCATGCGTGCTTGGTAAATTCTTTACCACTGAGGCACATCCCTATGCCCATCTTTAATCTTTTTTGTAAATCTTCATTTTAACAAGTGTGATATGTCATTGTGGTTT